GAGACCGAGACGAGACCGAGATGAGACTTAAAGATCGAATTCGAGACTGATACGAGATTTTTTATACCGAGTCTCGACGATACCGAGAATCTCGTCGAGACTCTCGAATTTTGTAATATGTCAGATACAATTTCTAACGCATAAGATATAAGTCTCAGACCCATTTTCATTATCTGGTTAATTTGTGCTTAATGCTTAAGGACGTTCACCGGCTACAATCGTAGCCAAAAGTTTACTACTCGCTCGCTTCTTGGTGCATAGCGCATGTCTCTCCCCACTCCGCTTCCCATGCCAATACTTTTTCTGCTGAGTGTACTCACGCACAAGCAAACGGGGTTCGATGCCTTGTATGTATACACGCACACTAGCCTGTTGAGAAAAGCGGAGACCCGTCTCATAGCAACGGCTCTCCTTCCATGCGGCGACTTACTTCAAGTGCTGTCGGATACACCACTTCGAACTTCGATAACTCAAAAACGGCACCGCTACGGATCCCCGTTTTTTTTTATGTTATTTCTAGCATCATCCTGCATCATATCCTAATTTTTTAGAACAATCGTATAGATATCACAGTCGCTATGAATTGAAATGTCACTTGAGCGCACGCTTGGGCTATACCTTACATGTTAAAAGCTGCAACTTTGAAAATTAATAACTCGAATTCGGTACCGCTAAATTTTCTGAATTTTGGAGGATATATCGATAATGATATTAATATCATGTAGTTAAAATTTGAAGCATTTTGTATAGAAATCGATTAGCCGGTGAACGTCCTTAATGGGCTTCATCACAGATAAAGCCCATTGGATAAAACATCAAGTTAAGCCTAATCACAAGTTAACCAGGTGATAAAAAAAACCGATCTTTAACTAAACAAGGATCGAATGGATACTATATTCACACGCAGTAACCAAAGGGGAAAGAAGTTAGAAATATAATAAAACTTTCATATTATTATCGGAATATTGTATAACGTAATATTGTATGAGTTAAAAAAATGTTTAGAAAAATCTTTCAAATTAGATTTAAGGTAGTCAGACCATATAGCACAATTATTCAAGAATGTCTTGAAACTTTCGTCTCAAGTAATTTAGGTATTAATCATATGCCTGAAAAATTTGAGCTCGATTTATCGTCCCGTTCCCCCAAAAGGGTTCCCACCTTGTAGAAGTCGCGGACCGGGTACCAGTGGTCCGCACTCCCTGCGGTAAAATGACACGAGACCCACATTCGACCTGCGAAGGCAGGTACGGGACCTCGAGATAGAAAAACCGACGGGGGGAATATTTGACCACATCCAGGTACGCCTGGCGTTCTCGGGGGTTGCGGGCTCCCGTGCCGGGTGATGGGACTTACGGTCGCTAACAGGGTCCTCCCGCTCAGAGGGAGGGGCATGGGGGCCACCAACTAAGAGGAACCTCCAAGCTAGGGTGTAAGCTACCGTGCCTGGAGCTGCATGGCGCAGGGGAAGCTGCGTCGCTAACGGTGCCTCCTGGATACTGGGGAATTCCAGGAGTACGGAGCCAAGCCCCGGGCATTCGTGGCTCTGTCCGGGTGAGATCGCGCGTCCTCGGTACTCGTGGGATTAAAATGGAAAACAAGACTAATAATAATGTAAATATAAACAAAGTCCTCTCGGGGATGGCTTTCCTAGGAAGCGAACAACCGGAGGAGAAAAAAGTAGAAAGTGCGGATCTACCTGTATTCGCTACAGCGGGGCTGCAAAGCGCCGATTCAAAAAGGAGAAGGAGAAGGCTGAAAAAGCCATCCCTCCTTATCCATCCAATACCCATACTCCGCTGGGCGAGAAGGGGGGCGGTGCGACGGTGGGCACGCAGGAGCGTGCCAGACCGGTGCATCAGACGCCCAGTCCGACGGAAAATCGCCCGACCAAGAGACCCAAGGTCACTGACAAAGGGTCGTATGACCAGGCGACAAAGGGTATTATCAGGATGGCCTTTGTAGCAGAAGGCTACCCTGAGAAGAAACTGGGTGCCAGTGAGGTGGATAGGATCAGGCGACAGGTCAGAAGGCACATCCTCGAACTTTTCGAGGATGGGCTAGCGCCCACCTACACTGGCACCTGGGAGAGGGATGGCGAAGTTATTTTTAACTGCACCAATCAACAGTCGGTGGATTCGCTGAAAAGCGTTTCCACCGAAATCAAAATCGGAAGCACCACTCTGCATGTGCTACCAGCTGAGGAGCTACCCAAGCGCCATCGGGTGGTAGTACATGTTGAGGAACCTGATTTGGCCGCCGAGGAAGCTATAAAACCCCTCAACAGACAAAACGCAGGTCTGGGCGCCAGGGAGTGCGTTGTCGTGAGGGGGTGCGAAAGTAGGGACGCCAAAAGCGCCCATTTCGCTGCTTTGATCGGCGATCGCTCACTGGAGGCCCTGAAGACCTTTGGCTTTAAACCCTTCTGCGGGCTGGATCGGGCAACCATAAGGTTGCTCGACAAAGAACATAAGCAGGGGGTGACTGTCGGTGCGAGCGGGTCGGCTTAAAAATAGCGGGGCTCGCGGTATCGACAATCCAAATTAACCTGTATCACAGCAAAGACGCCTCGGCGATTCCAGCCAGGAGCATGGCAGAAAGCAGTAGCAATAATTCAGGAGCCTTGGCTCCTGAATAACGCTATAAAGGGTCTGAGTGGCTGTGGAACTATCTACCAAACATACACTCAGGACAAAATTAGGACCTGCATTGCAATTAAGGGAATAAATGCTATTACTATGTCACCGCTCAGCGATGGAGACACTACCGTTATACGGACAAGGCTGAATTACGATGAGGACAGGCACTTGGATTTACTCATAGGGTCAGTCTACATGTCCTATGAATCCCAAGAAGAACCACCACCAAAAAGGGCGAGAGAACTGGTGTCCTATGCGAAGGAGAGGGGGCTTGAACTCCTATTGAACTGCGATTCAAACTCTCACCATATAGGGTGGGGGAGCTCGAATATACACCCGAGGGGAGAGAGCCTCCACAAATTCATTATGGACACCAGCTTGATAATCCTAAACAGAGGAACGGTACCTACCTTCGTCGACCGCAGATAACAAGAAGTATTAGATATCACCATTAGTACTAGGGGAGTGGCGGACCTGGTGCGGGACTAGAGGGTCTCTGGAGAGCCCTCAGGTTCCGACCATAGACTGATTCGCTACAATCTCCTGCATGTGGTAAATAAAGAATGGGGTCGAAACCCAAAGACGACAAACTGGGAAGGCTGTAGGATGGACCCGGAGGCCATCCTGAAGAAAGCCGCAAATAGGTTTCACTCAGAAGGGAATCTTGAGTATGCGGCGCAGTATGTAAGTGACGCGATAAGTGAGGCCATGAGGGAAATTGCCCGGAGAGACCGAAATACACTACAACCAAAACTCCCTAGTGGAGCAAGGAGCTTTCGAAGCACAAGATGGAGGTAAGAAGAATCTTTAACAAAGCAAGGTGGAAGAACTCAGCAGCCGATTGGGACGCGTGTAGAAACGCCCAACGTGGCTATAGCAAAGCAATAATCATTGCTAAAAGGAAAAGCTAGAGGTATTTCTGTAAAGGCATTGAGAGCGCTTCAGAAGCATCCAAGCTAAACAGAATCCTCAGCAAAGACAGCACACTACGATTGGGATGCCTTAAACTCCCAAAGGGAATCTACACCGAGACAGTAGAGGAAACTTTAAAACACCTCATGTCTACACACTTCCCAGGGTTCCAGGAAAGATACTGTAAATGTCAACAGGAAACCGAGAAACACAGGGAAAAACATAAACCAAGAGAATGGACACTGGCAGCCAAGATGGTGACTCCTGAAGGAGTTAAATGGGCTATCAAAACCTTCGAACCATACAAGACTCCAGGACCAGACGGCATCTACACTGTTCTACTCAGGGAGGGTAGGAGGGTCCTAGTAGGCCCCCTGACAGAGTGCTGAGGGCTAGCATAGCACTGAGAGATGTTCCAAAAGCCTGGAGTGATACCAGAGTCGTATTTATACCAAAACCAGGTGAAAATGGCCATGTGACGGCCAAGGACTACAGACCTATCATCCTCACATCCTTCATCTTAAAGATGTTGGAGAGGCTCATTGATAGGTATCTGAAAGACCTTATTGCAAAGACGCTGAACCCATCCCAGTACGCCTACAGGAAGGGCAGATCTACGGACACTATCCTACATCATCTTGTGAGCGGGGTTGAAGATCAGATGGCTGCAAAAAAATATGCAATAGGCGTCTTCATCGACATTGAGTGGGCTTTTAATAGCCCCTCAAATATGTCGATTAAAGACGCCATGAACAGATTTAACATTCCAGAAACACTGATCGACTGGACACAAAACATGCTGAAGGGCAGAAGACTGACCGTCAATCATGGCAACAGCTCAGTTGAGGGGAGCCCGACGGCGGGCTGCCCGCAGGGGGTGGTGCTCTTACCCTTGTGCCTGTTGGTGGATGAACTCCTCACAAAACTGAAGAAATCAGGCTTCGAAATCTACGGATATGCAGACGACGTCGCCATTATCACCAGATGTAATTTCCTCTCAACACTCAAGGAACGGATGAACGAAGCCTTGTAAATTGTACAAACTGGTGTAGGACGAGGGGACTGATGGTAAATCCCTCAAAGACCTCAGCCATGATCATTACCAGAAAATACAAACCGAAACCCAGTGAGACATTAAGGCTCTGGGGAAAGAAAATAAATTATGTAAATTCAGTAAAATATTTGGGGGTCCTATTAGACCCCAAATTGAGCTGGAAACCACTCGAGAAAAAGAGGAAGAAATTCTACACCTCTATGTGGGCGTGTAGAAGAGCCATGGGAAAGACCTGGGGAATGAACCTCAGGATAGCCTTATGGCTATACAAGATGGTATTGTTACCAAAACTCACGTATGCAGCAGTGGTCTGGTGGTCAAGGGCGGAAAAGGTGGAGGCAGGGAACCTGCTCAAAAGCCTATAGGGAGGATACCTGAGGGTTGCAGCAGGGGCCATGAAAACTACACCAACTGAGGCGCTGCAAGTAGCACTCAGTATTCCGCCCCTAAATCAAGTGATCAAATACACAGCCAGGCAAACAGCATACAGATTAATATGTCAGGGTGAGTGGAAGGAAACCAGGACTGGACACACAAGACTGGGACTTTCTGATAAACACCCTTTTAATCTAAAACAAGACAGGATCCCCAGAAGACACCAGTTGGTGAAGACTTTTATAGTTCAAATACCGACTAGGGAGGACTGGAGCATACCTAATTACAAAACCAATCCAGATGTAGACACTTGGTTCACGGATGGATCGGGAGCAAACGGTCGATATGGGGCAGGTATATATTGGCCCAATATTAACCATGAGGTAAGCATACCAATTGATAGCTGGCCACAGAATTTCAAGATGAAGTGCTGGCCATCCAAAAATGTGCGGTACTCCTGTTAAAGGGGAAAAGCAGGAAACAAATACACCTTTACACAGATAGCAGAGCGGCTATTGAAGCACTTGCAAGAACCTCCACAGAATCATCTGTGGTATGGGACTGCATGCAAGCACTCACAACACTAGGGGTTACAAACCAAGTAACCCTAATATGGATCCCTGAACATCAGGCTATACCTGGAAATGAGAGAGCGGACGAGGTGGCAAAGCTGGGCACCGAAATGGTCCCGGCTGAACAAATCGTCGGGGTCCCATTTTCAGCAGGAACAAAGAGGATCAAAGAGTGGCTTGAACGGGAGCACTCGAACTCCTGGAAGGAGGCAAAGGGCTGTAAACGAGCAAAACATCTCATGAAACTTCCAAAACCAGCAAGAACTAGAGAATTGCTGGCAATGGGAAAAGCAAAACTGAGGAGCGGCATAGGCCTCCTGACAGGACACTTGCCCCTGCACATCTATTCAATCTAGGACTAGCGGAGCAGAGAGAATGCCGGCTATGTGGAGAAGAAGGCGAAGACAACCTGCACTTACTGTACTGATGCCCTGCACTCACTGTAAAAGATGTAAATCCTGTTGACATATGTTTTTGTTACCCAAGGATCTAGAAAATGCGAAGGTTAACAGTTTAATATGTCTGGTAAGTGATACGAGGCTGAACTTGACTGAATGATCTACGGAACAAGCAGGGAGCGACAATGGAACCTCATGGATCTAGGTCGCGTTAGTAGGCTAATTAAGCCCACCTGCATTTATCTACTTCTACTACTACTACTACTACTATTGTCTCATTCCTGAGATATAATCGATCAATCTTCGCCGATTTTTCTATATTTACCATTGCAGTATAGCCGTTTTCGTCGTGATATGACACGGATTTTCATACAGCATCGAAAGTTACAGCATTCAAAAAGTTAATGAAAAATGAATCTTATGTAATTGAATTTATGAAGAAACGTGTATAACAAGACCGCAAATATTCATCGTATGAGACGAAAATTTGAGTCAATAAAAAATCTTGATTTTATCATAGATATTTATATAACACTAGATCGCTAACTGTACTCTAGTACATGATTCCGAAAAGTATGTACTAAACCCATGTCACATGTCCGTGACGTTAGCACCTTACCAAATCCGGATTAAAGAGTTGAGGGGCCCGGGGCTATTTAACTTTAGAGGGCTTGCGACTTACCTGTGAAATATTATCTCTTGATTCTCTTTTCCACTTAAACGGCGGCAACTTTTAACACGACAAGATAATGGAATAAATTTTCCAAAATCACACACAAATTACACGCACAGTTACACGTACGTATATCGCCCATGTATCCTTACCGCGGCCATGACACAATAGTAACCATGTGACCGTTTTATTCTGACGTCACGCTTCGTAATACATAAGTTTTGGAATCAATTTTTATGCATGGTACATAGGCGAGTTAGCTATCTGGTGTTATATAAATATCTATGGATTTTATACATTCTCTCGAGAATTGACGAAGTCTAGTGGATATGGCAACGTCGCACTTCCAATTGACCATGTATCAACCAGTTGAAAATGCTTATACCTAGCGATAATTTTGATATCGGGGAGACTTTGGCAGCATATAATATAAAATATATAAAAGTAGAATAGCTAAGCGGGTTCTAATCCACTATGTGTTACTGCGTGTTGTGTGTGTGTGTGTGTGTGTGTCTGTGTGAGGGGAGCAGGGAGGGGGAAGTGCACACGGATACAGAGCCGCCACTAGGCGGCGTTGGTGTCGCGCCGGGCTCTAGAAGGAAGAGGGGGGGGAGTACGTCACAGGGGAGTATTCTGCGGGAAGGAGGACTTTGTTCCTTCTCTCCTCCCACCTATTATCTCTAGTACTTATTGCGCTCTCTTTCTAACCCGTTATCCTCTCTCTCTCTCCCACCCATTGCAGTTCCGTACTTACACTATTGCGCTCTCTTTCTAACCAGTTGCACATCTCTCTCCTCCCACCTATTGTCTCTAGTACCTATTGCGCTCTCTTTCTAACCCGTTGTCCTCTCTCTCCCACCCATTGCAGTTCTGTACTTACACTATTGCGCTCTCTTTCTAACCCGTTGTCCTCTCTCTCTCCCGCCTATTGCAGTTCTATACTTACCCTATTGTTCTCTCTCTTCCTCTCGTTCCGTTTCCTTCTCGCACATGATTTAATTAAACAGATATTTTCGAATTTTAAGATATGACTAAGCAATCAATCATTTTTCAGTGTAACTGCTATCGAGCATACCGTACAATGACTCATATCGTAAGAATGCACTCTAACCGTTTTTGTACTTTTTTTTTTGTCTATGGGGACGGCGCCAATAATAACAATAGAGTTTATCGTTACGACTGCGATAAAATCGTCCCTTCGTTGAAACTTGTCGATGTTAGAACGCGCTAATACTTAATTAGAGGAAAGGAAAGGGAATATGGTAAATTAAAGAAATATATGTTTAATGTACACAAACATTTATTTATTTATTTATTTATTATGCAATGCATGATATACAATAGTATCTGAAGCGTATAAAATCAATTCACATTCAATTCCTGAATTCTTGTCATAAATAGTACGCAAAGTGTCTACCGCTTCCAATTTGTCCATAATGCAATTTTTACGTAAATAACTTATAAAATAATTACATTTATCGCTTACACTATTTATATATTGACACAAATCGAAATACACATGGTTGACCAGCGTTGACGCTTGTTCGAGTTCAAGCATAAAGAGTACGGTAGACGGTTTCATATACATGCACTTATCACATAAAGATAATTTCACTGTGCTCACATCGCGTATTTTAACAAGTTCCATCACAAGGTCTTGAAGTATCAATGATGATGGAGTAGTCGACTGCACCAATCCGCCCGTTTTTCAATGAACATCATCCACGTAGATTGTGGCAGGATGATGCGATTGCCTCGGGTGTCACCAATCACAATTTCCACGTAGGACATCGGTCCCGCGACGATCTCGATCTCCAGAAATTTGTACGCTGCGGATGTTAGTGCAAATGTCCTCCCCATAATGTTACGTGTACTGCAATAAAGAATAAATATAGAATATTTTCATAGAATATTTTCACAGATATAGAATATTTATAATATAATCATAGATATAAGTGATATACTTACAATGCTTGTTGATTATACGTATCCATAGCGCTGGAGATTACAACCAAACGAATTCTTGAAAACGAGTGATGCAGTGATGTTGCGCGAACAGCTTTTAAACCGTCTCCCCTCCAATGTTATTAATTTTCAATATTAATAAAGTCAAGCCACCATAAAGGCCATTCACCGTATCTTTTATTCCCATAATGAAGGTAATCACCTAAATAATTACTCATTGTGTTCTGACATATACTAATCAGTGTTTTTGTATCTGTTAATTTATTATTCTTATAAGTATTCTCAATATAACCCTCTTGCAATTGTGAATGTCTCTGACACCAAGTATTGGTACGCGTCAACACGTTGCGGTCACCGAGTTCACGATTGTGAAGTAAATGCGGAATCGATGAACAATGACGGTTAGACATCTTTGCACAAAATGGTGGGAACTAAACTCTCGATTAACGAAGTATCTTCGTAGATTCTTTTCTGCGACGACTGCAGTGGAAAACTAAATGTGACTGTTGAATTCGCCTGCATAAGGTTTTAGTTGTCTAATGCTTATTGGATACCATTTTTTCTAAAGACTTTTCAGTTACCCATCGGCGAGTTTAGTTTTCTTCGTCTTCTGAGAGAGGGGGATTTATCATCCTTTCCGAGCGATCTAGTTATGATTCATGTTATCCTTAAGTGAGTCTTTCATATTTTCACTCTTTTCTTTTTTTATCGATTTTACTTTTATTAGCTAGACATACCCGTCTAGACATGTACGTTCTTGTTCAGACAAATTTATCCCTATCTGATTTACGATATTGTCCGAGATCAACGGTTCTCAGATTAAAAACTATGCTTTTGTGTATTTTTTTGTTGACGAATAAAATGCTCTTAAACTTGGAATGTTAAGTGAGTCCTTCATATTTTCATTCCTTTTTTTTTTAGATCACCGATTTCTCTTTTATTGACTAGACATACCCGTCTAGACATGTATGTTCTTGTTCGGACAGGATTTATCCTTATCTGATTTACGATATTGTCCGAGATCGACGGTTCTCAGATTAAAAGCTATGCTTTTGTGTTATTTTTATGTCACATTCGAGCGATCGAGTTATGATTTATGTTATCCTTAAGTGAGTCTTTCATATTTTCACTCTTTTCTTTTTTTATCACCGATTTCTCTTTTATTGGCTAGATATATCCGTCTAGACATGTACGTTCTTGTTCGGACAGAATTTACCCCTATCTGATTTACGACATTGTCCGAGATCGACGGTTCTCAGTTTAAAAGCTATGTTTTTTGTTTATTCGTCATACATTCTTAAAATCGTGGATTCCACTGGGCGTAACATTTAATGTATGCGTCGACCAATGATAGTTAATCCTCCTCAACTTCGACTATGATTCGTTGAAATAAAAATATTCTCGAATTTTCATAAAATGCAACACTCACCCTTAGTAGCATATAAAAGCGGAGAGATCGGTATACACACCGTCAGTAGCCGAGTTGAAAGATTTTGTTTACAAAACAGTGCTCAATCTCACGAACATCGAGTTTCCGATGACATTGAATCAAATTAAGAAATTTGAAAATCTCAACGACATTTCCATCAACGTATACACCATCGAGAATGGATTCGTACCGATAAGACTCGCCGAAGAAAGAGGAGCAAGCATGTTAACCTCTTGTATGTGGAGGATGACATCGTAGGACACTTTGTCCTGATCAAGAACCTGTCACGCCTCGTAGGATCGCAAATCCAAGAAAAAGAAATATTTCTGCGATAGGTATGTATAATAATAATAATAATAATAATGATGATGACAATGACGATAAAAATAACAGTAATACTAATAATAATAATAATAATAAATTTTTATTCTTTTTTTTCCAGATACTTGCACTACTTTGACTCGAGCGCTAAATCGGAGACTCACAGCATGGATTGTGGAAAAATGAATGACTGTGCGATAAGGCTGCCGAGCGAGGACGACAAGTGGCTGAGCTTCCGCAACCACTGCAGGAAGGAGCGCGTCCCATTCGTAGTCTACGCCGATTTGGAGTGTGCATTGGAGAAGATGGATACGGAGTCCACATCAGCTACGTACACTTATCAACATCACAACGTCTTCAGTATAGGGTATTACGTACACTGCTCTTATGACAGCTCACTGTCAAATTATAAGTTTCGTCGCAATAATAATTGCATATCGTGGTTCGCGGACGAATTAAAAAATTTAGCGCATAGTATAAAGACTATAATTTCAACCAATGTTCCTATGGCAGATTTTACGCGCGATGACTGGCAAAAATTTAACAGCACCACGCACTACCACGTGTGCG